GTCCTCGACTTATGACCATTCATTTGAAGTTACAGCGGCACTGAACAAAGGGACTTACAGCCAGTCCCTGAAGTTACGGCTGTGCAGTGCCCCCATGGTAATGTGACCAAAATTCGGATGCTTGGCAGCCCACCTGCACTTACGACCGCAGGGGCACTTGCTGGGGCTTCCCAGGATGCCGCGGCTTTGTGCCATGCTGCTTGTCCAGGCTGGGGTGGCTGAGGCTTCCAGGGGTGGCTGCAGCTTCGTGCTGTGTTGTGGCTCAGGGGCTTCATGCAGCTGCAGAGCCATGGTGTGCCAAGCAGCCCTAGAGCCCCACAAGGCAGAGTGCAGGGCAGCCAAAAGGGCAGAGATGGGGGGAATAGGCAGTTGGTGTGAGTTGAAGATGAGGCAGTCCCTTACCTTACTGAGGCTCTGGGCTGAGAGGGAGCAAGCCAGAATGGCTTGTATCGGGGTGGGTCCTCGCCTAATGACCAGCGTGTTTTGGGATTATGATGGCAACTGGGACTGCCCATCACTAAGCGATGTGGTTATGTGACGACACACTTTACGGCTGTATTGCTTAGCGATGGAAATTCTGGTCCCAATTGTGGTCGTAACTTGAAGACTACCTGTAATGTGTGCTAGCAATTAATCTGATGGTGTACTGATTTTATATATCATATCATATATCATATCATATATCATATCATATATCATATCATATATCATATCATATCATATCATATCACATTATCTCTTGTATGACCACAGTCGCTGAATTTAGATCCTTTTTGAGTTTTTATATTCATAGCTCCTGTGTATACTATTTTAAGAAAACTGATGCTGAGTTTCACAAGGTTTGATCAAATGTATGCTGTATTTTCTACACATTTCACCTGTTGAATTCAGAATATAATTCAACATAAATATTATTGCCAAAAAGTATATTTTTATCTGAAAGTATGTTGTGCGCCCTCTTGTGGGCAAATAGAGCATATATATATAGAGAGAAAGTGAAGACAAATTTATCTTATGAATGCATATAGTTATGTTTGTATACTTGCATAATGGGATGGGAAATTATTAAAATCTTCAACCATTATCTTACTACAGATTAAGTTCCATCAGCATTATTAGTATTGGTACTCTTAAACAAGATTCTTGGGTCTTGATACTTACAGTATTTCTTTCTTGATCTAAAATATATAGTGAAGGACATTCAAGTGCATGTAAGCTAATATCTACACTGATCAAGAAGAACGTATTCCTGACTTCTACCCTAACAAATAAAAAAAAATGGTCTTACATTTAATTTTTTCACCTCTTTTTAAAATCCTTATCAATTATTATTCTAGTATGGAGTGTAAGGTGTTGTATTGAGACCAGGAATCCCCAGGTTCAAATCACCATTCAGCCATGGAACTCACTGAACAATAGTTGCTCACTCATGATCACTCAGCCTAGCAATGTTGATCAATACGAGAATTTTGATATGGGGATAAAATGAGAGGACGCCACTGTGTATGGCACTTTTTGTTCCCCAAGGAAAGCAGTGTAATAATAATAGCTTACTAGTTAGAAGACTTGTCAAGAACAAAGCAAAAGTAGCCACCAACTTTTTATTATATCATATTGTAATTTTAATGTATGTTACAATGTTATACAGGTAGTCCTCACTTAACGACAATTGGGATTGGCAATTCCATTGCTAAGCAACATGGTCGTTAAGTGAGATATGTGGCTACGACAGACTTAACCACTTCACTTCTGCCCCAGTCCTTAAGCGACCCACTCGTGGTTGTTAAGCCAGACATCACTTGACTGCAACTTGCGATTTTACTGCTGGCTTCTTCATTGACTCTGCTTGTTGGAAGCTGCCTATGAAGCATGCAAATGGTAATCACGTGACTACCGGGACGCTGCGATAGTCGTAAGTGTGAGGGCTGGTCGTAAAGTTACGTTTTCAGTACCATTGTAATTTTGAATGGTCGCTAAACAGCACAGTAGTTAAGCAAGGACTACCTATACGTTTGAACTGAAATTGTTTTATTCATTTTTTTCAGTCAGCCTTAAAATAGACCAATAGTAAGCATACTGATTTAGAAGTTAATGTATTATCAAAATAGATGTATTAAATCTTTAGTTTGGTTTTCTTGTATCTAGAATGGCCACCTGGCTATGCTTCAAAAGCACCATTAGAATCATTCAACAAACTGAAATCATTATCTCATACTAAAGTGATTCTTAGACTTCTAAGGTGAAATGTTCAAAAGTGAAAGTGATTATATTTTCCCAAGCTAGAATTGATCCCAAATCTAAATATACAACATAAAAGTCTAGAGTTTAGTAAATGAATGCTAATTTGTAAACACTGTTTTAACTGAATATATTGGTAATTCTATAATATTTAAACATTTTTTAGACTTCTTAGGCTCAATTTGAAGGTATTTTTATTCCTAATAGGAAGCAGCTCTTATTAATTCCACTTATTATAGCTTGCAACATCAATTAAGCATGGGGAATTGGTTACAGGTAGTCCTCAGGTTATGACCCTAATTGGGACTGGAATTTCCATCACTAAACGAAGCAGTTGTTAAGTACAACATCATGTGACCACACTGCTTAGTGATGGCAGTCCCAGTTGCGGTCATCAGGTGAGGACCTGATGCTTCTCCTGCCCTGTGGGAACTGCCTCCACTTCAACTCCCCCCACCTGCTTATCTCCTATCTCTTGCCTATCACTCTCTGCCCCCAGCTGATCTTTGTCTTCTTTGCCATGCCTCTCTGCTTTTGGGCTTGCCGACACCAGTTGGCCTCAAGCTCCACAGTGTGGGGGTTCTGTTGGTGCTGGCTCACCTCTGCTACCACCTCCCCAGCTACCTCCCCAGCCACTGAGCTCCTGGCAGGCCTGTCCTGCTTCAGCAGTATCAGACTAGCACTGTCTGGGAGGGCTCTGCATGCTCCATGAATTCCTGCCCCACCCAAAGAAGTTCCTCTGTTGCCCTATGCAAAGGAGGGAGCTGTCCAGAGAGTGCCCCTCCCAGCCCCCGCCACCCTACTGGGAAGGGAAGGGGCTGGGGCTGGGGCTGGG